TTTGAAATGTGTCCAGTTCATTGTTCCATGGATCTAGAGGAGAGGATCTAGAGGAATGTAAGCCCAAAGCAGCAGTGATATTTTGAAACCCAGCCGTGTTCTGGTATAAAGGCAATGTCTCTCAACTTTTACCCAATTTAAGATGTCTGGATTTCAACTCCTAGAATTCCCCAACTAGCAATGCTGGCTGAGGAATTCTGGGAGTTGAAGTCCAGCCATCTTAAGATGGCCAAGGTTAAGAAACATTGAACCATAATGTTTACCTTAACTCCTCAAACAAAAAGGAAATGCCAGGACTGAAATCCAGACCATAAGGTGTTTTGGATGACCAGCATTTGAAATTCGCCTTTAAATCTGCAGAGAGCTAGAATCTGCCCTTGTGATTGAGCAACCATTTTTTAATCAGTGTACAAGGTCTGCTAAATCATTTATTGAACCTCAAATTATAGGAAACTCCTTTGCCATCTTACCTTCTGCCTTTTGTCCAATGCAACCTTGTGATAAATATTCACAACTTGTTTAGACATTTATCTATCTATGTATGTATCCTCAGGAATAAATTTCCTCCCACGTGGTTAGTAAAGCATAGCTTGCTAGAATGAGGAGTGAGAAGTCATTCACGTTTACTTGCTGTTATTTGATGTGGATCCCGTCTTATTCGTCCACAGTTAATGAAGGTGTGTTGCCAATTTTGGCCATAGACAAACATTCATACACAAAACATTCCTAATATTGGCCTTAGTGCTCCCGGCCAGATAATGCGTGAAATGAGATGGCTTTTAGATTGCTAAGTCATTCTACTGAGTTAGGATAATATGGACTAATTCTCTTGACACATTTCTGAATTTTTATCTAGATGACCATGATGTTTTATCATTCCTGACATTTCAGTTGACAGAGCCTGGCAAAATGACGGTAGGTGTCTTTGGATTATATATTTGTTTTGCATGCTCAGTGTGGGTTTTGGAAGAAAAGGTGTTTCTCCTTTTGTTTTAGTGCTTGAGAATTAACTCTTAGTAATATGCAGAGCGAGCATTCCCAATAAAACAGGACAGTCATTTGCAACTGTGTTGTATACCAACTATGCCGAAGGCTTTAAAAAACAGGCTAATTATAGATTTGCAATGGAATTACAGACTTAATATGTTTTGTGGTCTTTCCATCTTTGTTAATTACGTCAGGAAAACTGGGAAGATTGGAGAGGTCAAAAACAAAAGTTAGAACTAGGAGTGCTTTAGCCTTATTCAAGCATTAATCAGCACATAATTATGTTCCCAGAAGGAGGGGAATGAAGCTTTTTTCACCCAGACCTCTCCTCATTGTTTCATCGTCCTCGCTGGCCCTGGGGTTTTTTTTTTGCGCTAAAGCAGCAGAGCCTTTTCTGTGCACATACATACAAGTCTTTGACTTACAGTCGGTCACTTAACAACCATTTGAAGTTCTGATGGACCTATCTGGGGGGGAGGGGGAATTATGTCCCAGATCCAAAGTTCTGACAGTCAGCATCCCTCCATGACCTCATTTCCGGCACTTCGGGTATTGGCAACCGGGCTTCATTTACAGCATCCTGTAGTCATGTGACCACGTTTTATGATGGTTTTCCTGAAAACCATCAATAACTTCCAGCTTTTGGCAAAACCACACCCGTAGCAAAGCATTGGTTTGCTTAATGACCACAGCGTTCACATATCAACCATGCTGACTTGCACAATCATGTGACCAACCCATTTTGCGACCATTATGAGTTATAATGACTATGATGTCTAGGCTCCATTATGGTTGTAACTCAAGGACTCTACACTTCTCATGAGTTTAGAGCAGGGGTCTTCAAACCTGGCCCTTTTATGACTTGTGGACTTCAACTCCCAGAATTCCTCAGGCAGGCACACTGGCTGAGGAATTCTGGGAGTTGAAGTCCGCAAGTCATGAAGGGGCCATAGTTTCCCCCATGCTGGCTCAGGAATTCTGGGAGTTGAAGTCCACAAGTCATGAAGGGGCCATAGTTCCCCCATGCTGGCTCAGGAATTCTGGGAGTTGAAGTCTGCAAGTTATGAAGGGGCCATAGTTTCCCCCATGCTGGCTCAGGAATTCTGGGAGTTGAAGTCCTCAAGTCATGAAGGGGCCATAGTTCCCCCATGCTGGCTCAGGAATTCTGGGAGTTGAAGTCCACAAGTCATAAAAGGGCCAGGTTTGAAGAACCCTGGTTTGATTCAGCAGAATCTGCAATTGCATGGGTAAAGCAGGCCCCCTGTTTCAGACTTCTCTCACAAGTGACAGGATAAATAAAGCCTGGCAGGAAATAAGAGGTAAAAATCGGGGACTACAGAGCCATAGTCCCCTTTACATAAAGGCAGTCAGGTAGCGCATATCAGCCAGTTCAGCTTCTTCAAACTGTTCCTTGGACGTCCCAAAATGTTAACTCCGAGTGCCTGATGCCAGTAGTGCTTGTCAAATTTCAGGATGCCTTTTTACTCAGAATTGATTTCATAGCCTCCACCAGATGCAGAAATTGCTGAAAAGGAGAAAGAGAAATATCAAGAAGAGTTTCAGCATTTCCAGCAAGAGTTGGACAAAAAGAAGGAGGAATTTAAGAAAGAGCATCCAGACATGCAAGGCCAGCCAAGTAAGTAGTCAGGTGATAGAAAGCTATCTTTCTTAAATAGGCATTCTTTCTGGTCTGTTGGCAAACAAGGTTCCTGGCTAGACAGTCCATATGAGAATGACTAGAGCAGGGGTTTCCAACCTTGGCAACTTTAAGACTTGTGGAATTCTGGGAGTTGAAGTCCACAAGTCTTAAAGTTGCCAAGGTTGAGGACCCCTGGACTAGAGGATCTTGTAGATCTATGATTTTCACAGTAGAGTCCAGAGGGAAAATGAATAAATGATCTTTGGTTTGCAATGCATTCAGTCTGCTATACGCATCAATTCCTTTAGCATGTAGGTAAACTACACAGCAGGGGAACTTACACTGCTCCAAAGCATATTTTGGTTGCTTCCAAAACCCCTCCCTCCCCACAAGTGTGACCAAAAAGGTCCCTTTTGCTTAATTTTGGATTTTTGGGGGATTGCAGGGGAAGGGGTTTAACCCTTCTGAAAATGGATATGGCTTTTGCCTATTTTCAGATTGTGGCCTTTAACATGTCATGAAAAATTAGTGCAGCCTTCAGACCCACAGAAACTGCGAGTTTACCTTTGCCAATTTGCGACTTTATTTTCTCTTTTTATAATGCAGCATCTTAAAACTGGTTTAAAAGATGAGAAGAGTCTAAGTTGCTTGCTGTTATCAATTGTTCTATCAGACTCCCCTTGGAAACCACTTATGGACTTTGTGCTTGTGGTGGGGAAAAAAATGAAACTTTGACTTTGGGTTTTGCCAGTTAGATAGGTTTGATGTTATAGAAATGGCTCGTATATATTATTATACAAAAGTAAAAAATTGAGGTCTTAAGTTACTACTGTCATGGTTCCGATAGATGAAACCAGTAAAAGAACTTCAAGGCAAGAATTCTTCCTTAAAGAACATTTTATTAGGAGACAAAGTATCGGCATTCTCTGTCGTCCCCTTCTTCTCTTGCCCTCAGTCTTTCCCAGCATTAGGCTCTTCTCCAGTGAGTCCTTCCTTCTCATTAGGTGGCCAAAGTATTTGAGTTTCAGCTTCAGGATCTGGCCTTCTAAAGAGCAGTCAGGGTTGATCTCCTCTGGGACTGACTGGTTTGATCGCCTTGCAGTCCAGGGGACTCACAGGAGTCTTCTCCAGCACCATAGTTCAAAGGCCAGATACAAAGTAACAAATTGCAATTCCCTCCCCACACAGGCTGTCATAAATCACATTCACATTAACACAAAACACAGGCTTTTCTCTCCAGCCCTTCAGCCCGCCAAAACCTTATCAGAACACGTCCTTGAGTTCTCACACTTCTACATTGTTATGGCTACTAGCTAAACCCTCAGGCATTTACCCCACCCCTCTTTCTACATCTGAACTCTAAAAGAAGAGAAAAAGCACGTTAAAAGCAAAAGTAAAATGGCTGCTGATTCTCAATTGTCAGAGCGTTGACATCCATTGTCACAGCGTTGACAACTACCATATTATACTGCACCAAAAGGAGTCGGAAATCAATGCTTTTTTTTCTTTTTCCTTCTGCCCTGCACATTTTTCTACCTCCCCTTTTCCCTCCTTATTTTTCCATTATCTTTATTTTTTTTGTATGTTTTGTATTTTATATTTTGATAAATCAATACAATTTGTAAACTCAAAATAGTTCCTTCAGATTCCCCGGCTTTGTCTTGCAAACTCACCTCTCCTTTGAGACTGAAATTCTGCATCCACTCACTTGGACGTTATGCCCTGTTAACTTCACTGAGACTCCTAAATGGGAGTTACTTCAGGCACAGATTAATATAGGCCAGGGGTAGGCAACCATAGCTGGCTCAGGAATTCTGGGAGTTGAAGTCCACGAGTCATAAAAGAGCCAAGGTTGCCTACCCCTGATATAGGCCTATGCTATTAATGAAACATCACAAGTAGACAGGTCTTATTTAGAACTGTTTTTGTGTTTCCCTCTGACTTGTGTGTCTTACTGAGAATGTCTTAGTTAAATTCCGTCAAAATAGAGCAAGTGGTTAAGCATATGCTTAAATGCAGTTATGTTGGAACTATTTGACCCACCAGAATGTCCCACTTGTGTGGGGTTTTTTTTCTGTTTTTATGATTTTGTAATATAAAATGCAAAAATGCAAAAGCCAATAGTAGGAAAAATAGCGGAGGGAAAGGAGAAGTGTAGAAAAGAAGGGGGGGGGCATTGACTTCCGACTCCCTCTGGTGCAGTAGAATAAAACAGTAACATCAAACATCATTTTTTAACTTTAATATACTAGTATAAACTAGCCGTTTCTATAACTACAAATCTAATCAGTAAAACCCAAAATCAAAGTTTCATTTTTTTTCCACCTTAAGTACAAAAGTCCAGAAGGAGCTTGGTTTTTTTTTTCTTTGATCGAAGCAGTTGGTTTAGCCATATCTGCTAACTCCATCAACTTTTGCAGCCATTTGTCCATTGTGGGGATTGAAATGTCCTTCCGTTTTTGTGCATAAATTAGTCTTGCTGCCATCAACATATATAACATCAAAGTTCCATTTTCCCCCCAAGTCTTTTTCCATTAAACCCATTAATTTTTCCATTAAAGGAAAAATTTCTGGTTTTATCTTTATGTTCATTTTAAGAACTTTCTGTATTAGAGTATGGATCCTACTCTAATATTTCTTTGCTTTAACACATAAATGATAAAAGGTCCCTTCTTTACATTTACATTTCCAACATTCATTCGAAATACCTTTATACACTCTGGATAATGTGTCTGGTGCTAAATACCAGCGATACATCATCTTGTAAAATATTTGCTTTTAAATTGTAATGTAATGTAAATTTTAAACCTTTCATCCACATATTCTCCCATTGTTCAAGCATAGGGAAAAAATCGCCCCAAAAAATTCCCGTTAAAATTCCCATTAAAATTACTAACCGGAAGAATTTATAAAGGATAATTAAGCCAAAAATTATATCTATAATAACATAATAACATAACACCAAAAATACTCCGACAATCGGCGGGACTCAGGATACTCCTCTTCCCGCCCCATGTTTAATTTAATAATAATAATAATAATAATATACATTATATGCAAAATTCCTTGCCCACTGAATCATACAGTGCTTTTACATGTTCACTTTCCAAATTCAATTTCAATAACATTTTATAGACCTTAGCAATAATATGTTCATCACTACCACACAGTGAAATTTCCTTTTAACAAAGTCAAATCCGTGACTCTTTTTACCTAGTTTAAATCTTTCTTTCAATTGTAAATATGTAAACCAATGGCAGACATGCCCTCCTAATTCTTGTGTGTGTGTGTGTGTTTTAAGTGGACGATATCTTTGAGACGGTGAGTGATCGTGAGCTGAGACAGATCTTCGAAGGCCAAAATAGAATTCATCTGGAAATAAAACAGCTCAACAGGCAATTAGACACGATTCTGGATGAACAGAGAAGATACGTCTCTGCGGTAACAGAAGAGATTTCCAAAAAAGGGTCAAATGTCCCTGGCCATCAAGGGCAGGTATATTGTTGGTGCATATGTTACTCATGTCACAATTCTGTATTTTGCCGGTTTTGTCCTTTTCAGTAACAGTTTTATTCTCTGTTTCTTTTTTGTTTTTAAATTACAGGCTCCCCAGTTAGAACTTGACAATATCGTAAAAACTCAAGAAGAGGTTCTGAGAAAAGTTGGGGAAATGAAGTAAGAATTCATATGTGGAAATGATAACATCCCAGCTTATGTCCAATAGAGGTTTCACATTATTATATAAGATTATTGTTGAGGTGTGAACTACTATAATAAGTAGAACAGCTCCAAAGGAAACCCTTTCTTTTTGTTCATTGAAACTCCACAATTTCTGTTTATTCTTAGATGGCTTATCCATATACAGTTTTTTTTTTAATGACTCTTAGTGTTACTAATGTAGCAAATACATTTGAGGTCCTTATCGCAGTGCTTGAGTAAACAGTCATATAACTTACTAGCTGTACCCGGCCACGCGTTGCTGTGGCTCAGTCTGGTAATGGAATCGTAAAATCGTAGCGTGTGTTGCTTTTACATCCAACAGATGGCGCTGTTTTTCAAAAAAAGCATGTTTTTACCTGTCACAGGTGTGACATCTATATAATAGTAGGTATATAAAAACGCGCGTATTCAAATGCAACGTTGTGTCAAAATTTCAAAGCAATTGGTGAAGAACTTTCGGAGATTTAAGATTTTGAACAAACAAACATTTACATTTTTATTTATATAGAAGATTATGATGGAGTGAAAGGAGGATAGGAGCCTGTGAGATCTACCATCTTTGCAGCAGAACATCTGTAGGATGAAGTTTATTGAAGTTGGAGGAGAGGTTGAGATAAGGATTTGATTAAGTTCTGGGTTCCTTGCAGAAGAAAAGATGGCTCCTGAGCTGTTGTATTTTGGAGTGCTTGTCCAGCAAGCAGTTCCTCTGGCTATTTTATACTAGTTTTATTTTATGGATATAGTCAGAGTGTCAAGGTTCCGACAGATGAAACTCTTCAAAAGAACTTCGAAGCATTGTTTACCTTAAAGAATCTTTTATTCGAGAAACAAAGTATCGGCACTACATAGTTAAAGCCAAAAACTGAATTCCCCTCCCCTGAGCACAAAGTAACAAAGCACAATTCCCTCCTCCAATTAACAGTCGTATATCACATTCCCCAATTAGCTTGAAGCAAGGACTTTCTCCCCAGCCCTCCAAATCTTTATCAACTCTGGGCGCAATAACCTTGGATTCCCATGGCTGAGTTATTATTGTTATGACTAACTGGACTCTCATCCACATTCCCCCTCCCAGCATCAACTAACTCTAAAAGCAAAAGAGTAAAATGGTTGCATTTCCATCTGTTGTCAAAGCAAGAACATCAGCATTGACACAGAGCATGTATTTTTTCCTTCCAAGAGTGTGAATTTTATGCTGTGGAAAATAAGTGAGGACTTTCTGAGCAGTGATTTCACAAAGAGAGACTGGGGGAGGAGAGAGAGCAGGGAAAAGGAAAGGAGAAGGGGGAAGGAAAGGAAGGAAGGAAGGGAATGCTAATACTCCCTGCCAGCTTCCTGCAAAGAGTCAAATTCAACTCACAATTTTTTTATTTAGGAACTACCTCTGAAATGATGACCCAGTGGGACAAGGGTTGGCTGGTAAATTGTATTACATGACCAGCAGTATTTAATGCTGAACATGCAAGTGTGGTCTGCAGCTGGGTACCATTTGTTACACAAAAATACTGCTGTCTCCATATAAATCACATTCTCCCCATCAGATTCAGAGTAATACAGCTGCAGTTTTTCCAGCACTCTAGTCAGATTGGGGAAGATGAGTTTTCCTCTGACGTTTTCAACAATTGCTGGATCCTAGGCAACCTAAGCAACTCATAGAAACAGTTTTAAATAATATTGTGTACCAAAGCACACACTCTTGTCATTTTGTCCCTGCATATTTTTGTGTTGCAAATTTTAAAAGGTGTCCCTGGTTATTTAGTCTGAGAAATCTAACAATAAAGCTCTTGCTAGAGCTTTCAATTCTAATGGATCAATTCAAATGGAAAAGTCCCTGCTTCAATGTCAAATATGCTAATTGTGCCCATAGTGATTTTTTTTTTTTTTAAACTTGATCACTTGCCTTTTGGGGAGAAAATGAATGATAAAATCCAGGGATGAAGCTGAAGGCCAGAGAAGCAAAATGCCACATCATTGGGTGATCATGATAATTTAGATAACGAAAAGCTAGGCGTAGCTTAAATTGCTTTTAATTTTTCCAGTGTGTATCTTTTGTCACAAACTCGCTGGGACTTTTAAACTATTTACGTCTTGAGGTTTTAAAAAATGACATATTTACGTCTACAAATCAAAACAATTTCCTTGAAATCATTTTTCTCCATGTTTTTTTTAAAGAAAAATGATACTTACCCTGATTATAAATTTTCATAGAGTCATTAAAACTTATGGAAAGTACATGAAATGGCCTCAGGTTAATGACTTGATAAATGATCGAATTCTTGCACAATAGCAGTATATTTTGTTACAGAAAGTGTAATTATCATCATACAGTGTCATAACAAACAATGTTTATTTTAAAAGTTCAGGTGCATCAAATGGCTTCTCTAACGTGAGCGTCCTTGACTCTCTTTCCAGAAATTCCATGGGGGAAACCCTGCGGCTAGTCAGTGGCCTTCAGCACCACCCAGGTTCCTCTGGTGGGGTCTACGAAACTACCCAGCATTTCAATGATATTAAGGAACATCTCCATGTCGTAAAGAGGGATATTGAACATTTAGTCCAGAGGAACATGGTATCTATTGCTATTTTTGTCCTACTTTTTTTGGGGGGGGGGAGGTGTCCCCAAAGGTCAACATGATGGCTGAGACTGCAAAACCCTGCCCCCTTTTACACTAGTGGCCAAAATAGTGGAAACCTTTTGGAAAAAGTGTACAGTAGAAATGCCACCTTTGATTAAGTTTCCACCAATTTTTCTTCTAATTTCTTTATAATGTAGTTCACTTAATAATACTATTTTACATCACTTTCTGGGCAACCAGTCAACTCTTTGCACCATTACTTTAATTTTATTACATTTTACAAGCTCACTAAATGAAAGAACACAAAAAAACCCCAACCAACTTGATAGTGATCACATAACACACTGGCAAATGTCCTCCTCTCAGCTTTAATATAAGACATCAATAACTGAATCCTTACTGTGATCTGATTGGCTCATTGCCAAAACAAGATGACACTGATTGGCTGTCTAAATACTCGTGCTCATTGGCTACAATTAGATGAAGGCAAGCTACCTGATATTAACCTAAGCAAGTTGTGCTTCCTTTTTCTGGTGATTTGGCTATAACTTTTCATAGAATACAGTACAGATAACTGAACAAACTTTGTTGCATTATATTCTTGATTAAATTATCTTTCCATTGATATATAATTTTATGGTACTACTCCAAAGAAAAAGTGGTGTTATTAGCCATCAAACCTCAAAAATACACCTTTCCCAAAAGGTTTCCACAATTTTGGCCACTACTGTAATTGTAAAAATGGCAGAGGACTTTAATTACATGGTTGCAGTTATGTCTTGACTTTTCCGATCTCCTCTGCGGATGCTCCAGTGAGTCTGTTCACTGTGTCCCAAATGCTTCCCTATGTTGGAATCTGAGAAAGGGCTTCCATATAAAATGGCCAGATGAAGTCTAATATTTTTATTCATCAGTATTCAGATAATAAAACTCCACTCTTCAAATGGCAATAAGTTTGAGCATATTTGAATTATTTTTTTTCATGGAGGAAACCTAAACTTCCAAAGTCCAGGGACCACCCCAGAACCTCTGCAATATAGATAATCCTCACTTAACATCCATTTGTTTAGCAACCATTTGAAGTTGAATGAAAGGATTTACCGGCGTTCCTCAAATCCTGCCATTGCAATCAGTCCTCAAAATTCCTGTTATTAAAACATGCCCACGATAGCATAAATGTGGGCCAACCTGCCAGGCCCAAACGACCATAGCCACACAGGAAGACTTCAAATAACCATTTTATTGCTCAAGCCTATAACACAGGAATCTTCTCAAACTGATGGTTTTATACCTGGATAAAACTAGATAAGGTTCAATGGCATTCAAGGGAGGGGGTAGACTTCACCCTCTTGTGCCCACATAGGAATTCCAGATTAATTCCCCATTTGACTCCTCCCTGGCTTGGCCAATCTCTTGCCAACATCCTTCACTTATGACCGCATTTGGTTATCTGCCTACCTGCTTCTGCCAACTATTCCCGCCATCCAGCAATGCCACATTGCACACTACTACTGTAACACTCAGAACCTTCTTTCACACAACCTTCTTTTGCTCCAGTGCAGCCAAGACTTCTCTTGCATGCTGGCCAGGGCCTCCATTTGCACCTCACCAAAGACCTTTCACAAAAAAAGGCCCTGGGTGGAAGGGCACTTCATTTGTACCAGTGCAGTCCCTTCTAGCCCATTAGAGAAGCCCCTGGTTGCACTGGCACAAAAGAAGGCCACGTGAAAGAACGGTACAGTGTGGCACACAATGCAGCGGGTACAGTGGTGATGGGAAGAGGTGGGCAGAGCTGGTAGCAAGGGGTAAGCAGGCAGCGAAAACAACAAAGATGATGGGAGAGAGGCGGATGGAGGAGTTGAAATGAAGGGAGTTCCTTCTTCCAAGAACAGTTTGGATCCAGGTTGATCCTTGCTTTGGCTTCACTTGGTGACAGGAACTGGGATTGCTGGAACTGCCACTCTAAGCTGAGCAGTCTCATGGGATTTTGCTTGATGACCACATCACTTAGTGAAGGAATTGCCATCCCAGTTAGGTTCATTAAATGAAGACTACCTGCACTTGATGTTAACTTACAATTTGTAATCTACCAGAAAGTCTCATGGGATTTTGCTTAACAACCACATCACTTAGTGAAGGGATTGCCATTCCAGTTAGGTTCATTAAATGAAGACTACCTGCACTTGAAGTTAACTTATAATTTGTAATCTACCAGAAGGGAGTATTCACCTCAGTATTTAATGATTTTAAATTAAAGCTAAATGAAAGCTTTATTCCGGCCTTAAGCATTTCTTTGCCTGGTCTGTGCTTGGAATATTAGTCCTTATCACATCACTCAAAAGCCCTTGGCCTGGAAAAAAAAAGCTGTCCAAAACAATTTCATGGCTTTTATGGGTTTTCTGTGGTAAATCTATTAAATCCTTTTGACCTAATGAGAAGCCTGTCTACAACTTGATAAATTGGCATCTTTAATGATTTTGGGCCAGAGACAGAATCTCACATACAGTAATAGGGCAAGGACTGAGATTTATGATCTGCTGCTACATCTCCTTATAGCTGCCCTTTCCTGGCCTTGAATACTGATAAAGCAAATTCTCCACAAACAGCTTTTCTTGGGGAAGGGAAAGGCAGCAGTAATACTAGAGAAGGGGCAACAGGGAACCAGCACTATAGTTTGGACTAGTGCAGGGGTAGGCAACCTTGGCTCTTTTATGACTCGTGGACTACCCTGGCTCAGGAATTCTGGGAGTTGAAGTCCACGAGTCATAAAAGAGCCAAGGTTGCCTACCCGTGGACTAGTGTATAGTTTACAGTGCATGGTTTAAACCAGTTTGGTCTTATGATTAAAGCACCAGGCTAGAGACCAGGAACCTGTGAGTTCTAGTCCTGCCTTAGGCATGAAAACCGGCTGGGTGACTTTGGGCCAGTCACTCACTCTCAGTCCAACCCACCTCACAGGGTTGTCATGTGGAAAATAGGAAGAGGAAGAAATATTAGGTATTTTTGCCACCTTGAGTTATTTATAACAATAATAAAGGGATAAAAATAAATAAATACAATATAGTGGTACTCCAAAAGTACTGCCTGGACTTTTCTTTCGTGGGGTTTTTAAAACACACAAACACACACAACATGTTTTAAAGCATGCGTGCACAGCCATCAAAATGATTTTGAGTACACTCATCGGTTCGGCTTGTTGAAAAATCATATCATCGTCTTGTTTGTTTTTCAGCCATCAAATGAAAAACCTAAATGTCCAGAGTTGCCACAATTTCCATCATGTTTATCGACAACGCACTTCTTTGTATTTGTAGCAATCCAGACGCTACTCTTTATTGGTTACATCATGTACAGGTAAGTGTCAACTTGAACACACGTTGCAAACAGGGATGATGACCCTGAGGAATAGAACTGAATGAATGGCTTAGAAATGAACCTGTCTGTTCTGAGCAAACGCTAAAAATTTACGAGGCACAAAAAACTAAATTTTAAGAAACACAAGAGAGAGACACCAGTGGATTTAAGATGCCGGTCCTTGGCACAAACGCACTTTTGCCATTATGTTTGTGGAGTTTTTGCTATATAAAAATGCTTAGGAATTTTCAATTTTTCAATATTTTTTTTAAAAAGTTTATAATTCACATTCTCACTGTCAGATGTAACTACTTAGGATCCCTTTTGGTCTTTTTGCTAAACATTTTAAAGCCCACACTTCTGGGGAACTTACAAAAAGAACCGTCACTGAGGAAATACTTGGTTCTCACACGCTTCAGCAGTCTTTTGAAATCGGCATTCACAAGAATATAGAAAAAGGGACAGGGTGGACAAGATTTTAAGCCCTGGAATACACGTCTTTTGCTGTCATGGAAATGCATAAGTCAGTGGTGGTAAACCTATGGCACGGGTGCCAGAGGCGGCACTCAGAGCCCTCTCTGTGGGCACATGCACTGTCACCCCAGTCCTAGGCCTTCAGCTGGGTTTTATAAAACCTTTTCGCTTTAGGCCTCCGCCGCCGTGTACAAAAAAAAGGTTCAATCAATCAGCCAATTTCAACTCGCGGGGAAAAAAAAGATCTTGCAAAGTTGGAATTGATTGATTGAACTTTTTAGTCCCACCCAGTCTGCTGTTACCACCGCAGCCACGCCCACCCAATGGGCCACACCCACCCAATGGGCCACACCCACCCGGCACCCGACGATGCATAAGTGGGTTTTGGGTTGCAGTTTGGGCACTCGGTCTCTAAAAGGTTCGCCATCACTGGCATAAGTGTTTGCGTTTCTCCCTCCCCTCCTCTCCTTTCATGAGTCTTAAATATGGAGTCAGAGTTGGGAGGGGCTCCTGATTGGGGAGGGTTGAACTGAATAAGCTGAAATTGGATCCAAGGGGGTCTGTGTAAAAGACCGGGTGAGGAAGCAAATCTTTCTCAACATAGCTTTCACTATAATATTGTTATGTGAATAAAACTGAGAGGACAAAATATTAAATAAGCTGCCTAGCGCTCCTTGAGGAAAGATTGAAGTAGAAATGTGTAATGCAAGAACTGTGGGGTCCTTGGTGCTCTCTGAGCTTGGCTGTTTTCTTACAGATGCTTCATTACCCAAGTAGGTAATTTAGTTGTGTAATAAAACATCTGCAAGAAAACAGATGTTTTATTGTGGGGTCCTCTGAGAACACCGAGGACCCCACAGTTCATCCCTCAGCTACAAATACTCTCTTCTACCGGCAACTAAATAAGTTTTTGCAAACACCTGCAAGGAAAAATTAAACAACATCTTTTCCTGTCCGTTTCATGAGGTATTTTCCTTTTGCAACATAAAACAGATAGAGCGTGTTCCTTCTTTGTCGCATCGCACTTGTGTCTTAAGCATTGAGGTGCTTCCGGGTTGAAAGCATTAGCCGTTGTCCAGGGGGCACCCAGTTGGGAGCTCTTTTCATATTCCCGGCAGGAGCTGGAACGAAGGACAGGAGCTCACCCTGTTCCACAGCAACACTCAGCTCTCGAACACAGGCTCACTAACCTCCCAACCCAGCATCCTACCCATGTGAACCACTGTGCTCTTAGCCTTCTACATCAGTCTAATTAGTTTCTCACTACAAGGTATTTTGTGGGAAATAATATTGGTCTAAATGGCTCGGCTTCTGTCAGTCACTTCGCTGTGATCTGAAGCAATTGTTAATCTTATTTCAGTAGTTAGCCTAAGTTGGTTTGGAGACTTTGACGACTGTAGTGAGCTTAATTATTTTAGATTAAAGTACTAAAAAAGCCACGTTCAGCCCAAGAAGCTTATGGAGGGGCTGCCCGGCCGCCGCCTCCGAATTCCAGAGCATTCCTGGTTCTGAAAGAGTCACTGCCTTATTGAGACAGACAAAAAGCTTTCTAAAGTCAGTTGAGCTAATGGATTTATCTGTCTGTTGTGTCTGCAGGAGTCAGCAAGAAGCAGCCGCAAAGAAGTTCTTTTGATGGCCCCTCTGTTGTGCATTCCAGAGGTGCATGGAAAGCATTGCACTAGTTGGAGAGGAGGGAAGGAATCCTTAGTGTTGAAAATGCTTCAATATTTTAAATTATTGAGTTCTTTTTTAATCAAGTACCGTGAATTATGGATTGCGGTGTAATAAAATGGACAGATTCCAAGGCAGAAAAGAGGTAAATTCTGTCTTTTGAGTATCCAGGAGAGATGGGTCGATGGGGGGAAAAAAACTTTACTTCATTGTCAAAATACATCCCAAGTAGGGTCTTGGCCCAGGAGTATATCTCACACTTATTTTTACATCCTTATTTGGGGAGATCATGGAAGGCAGAAAGACTTGCTGTATAATATTTGTTGTATGTCTCAGAGAAGAGGGGAAGCAGGCAGGCAAGCAGGCATTGAGGTTCTGAAACTGCATTCCCCTTTAAAGCTATAAGAGTTTACAAAAAAATAAAAATAAAAATCATGTAACCTTGTGGGCAGCATTAGATAAGCAGAGTTAGATATTGCCGATTCAACTTTAAAAAAAAAATCTGTTGAAACAGTGACAAGCAGGAATATGGAATGAGGAAGTTTGTAGAACAGCTCAGTTCTTAATGGTGCAATTTTTCTGTATAGAAAAAGGTAGGCGGGAACAAGCTCTTTTTAGCATGTTTTGATACAGTTATTTGTATTCATTGTATTCACATCGATCATAACTTTTGTAAAAGTGTTTTTTAAACTCTCTTCAACGAAGAGATCCTAGCTTGCATGATCTTGAAAGTCATCTGACTTGGGAGAGAATATGAGACAGCAGTGATCTTCAAAATGTATCATTGAATGTTAAAAATCAAACCGACCTTGCATTGTGTTCTTCAAAGTGGTCCTCTCCAAACCAGGGATATTGTGTGTAGACACTGATGGCATTGTTAAAAAAAAATTCAGGCTTGTTCTGCTTTTGTTGAACCAGTATTGTTCTTCATTCTCAAGTATTCTTAAGTCTTAGCCACTAATTATGTAATCCTTCTTAAGGTTGTTCCAGAACAGCCAATGTGATTTTACTCTGCCCTGCATTTTGCCTATATAGTATTGACTTGAAACTTCATTTTTACGCACGTAGAAATCCTAATAGAATAGTTTTCCCAAATTGCCAAGTGCTCAAATTCCTCTAAACTTAAAATATTAAAAGGTGAGCAATGTTCATTGTATCCAGTATTACATATTTTGATGGCATTGTTTGCAGTTTTGAGAAACAGAACAAATCTATGCAATTCTCTCCCTTTAAAGATTTTGGCAGCGTTATGTTAGGATTCATAAACAGGACGTTTTCCACCAAGTTTTGAAAAACAAGTAACTAAAGAATACCTTCCTACAACTCACAGTTGAGGACAAATAAGCAGACTTTATTTTTCTCAACCCAAATCATTCTATTTCACACCAGCAAATATTTTTACAGGTGCCTTGGACAAATTAAAACCAAATGTATGTTGTAAAAATGGTCTACTAAATCAAGGGTTTGTGCGATTAGAGTTTTCATGAAAGAAGACACTGCTTTCTTTTGTGCAGAAAAAAGTGGATTCTGTTGCATTATTTTTCTTTGGAATATGCTTGGATCATGATGCAAATCTTGTAGATAAACATCTATATTTTCTTTCAACACAATGTGAATCTACCCAGCTGAGAATTAAAATATTGAAGCAATCAGTGGTATTGTATCTTGTGTTCAGAGGGTAAAATACAGTAAAGCTGTACTCAGAAACATTGTTAGACTTGAGCTAATATCCCAACAGTAATTACCGGTAGTTCCCCAGCAAGTGAACAGATTTCAATATAAGGTCCCTGAAGCCCTCACAAATACATGAAATGCACATACTTGTGAAAGGTTATTACAACATAACTTGCATTTTCACACATGTATAGTTTCGTGTGGCATATAATGAAACATTTCTAGTCTCATTTTGAATTTTGGTAGTAATATAATGCACATTTTATTACCTGTCTGTAGTTTTAATTATTTTACAGGTCCATAATGAATAATGATAGAAGAGGGACAGTTTGGGATAGTGCAGGGGTAGGCAACCTCGGCTCTTTTATGACTCATAGACTTCAACTCCCAGAATTCCTGAGTCAGCATAGCTGACTCAGGAATTCTGGGAGTTGAAGTCCATGAGTCATAAAAGAGCCGAGGTTGCCTACCCCTGGGATAGTGGATAAGCATTGGTGGTGCAGTGGTTAGAATGCAGTACTGCAGGCTGCTACTGCTGAGTCAGCAGCTTGGCAGTTTGAGTCTCACTGGCTCAAGGTTAACTCAGCCTTCCATCCTTCCGAGGTCGGTGAAGTGAGGACCCAGATTGTTGGGGACAATATGCTGACATTGTAAACCACTTAGAGAGGGCTGTAAAGCAATGTGAAGCAGTATATAAGTCTTATTGCTGTTGCTATACAGCAGGGGTGACAAACTTGCCGCGTCATGTGTCATGACGTATCATGACTTTTTCCCCCTTGCCGGAGCTGGGGTGGGTGTGGCTTCCTCGTGACACATCCAGCCCGCGGACCGGCAATTTGACACCCCTGCTATAAGGCATAGGCTTTGAGTTCTAGTCTCTCCTTGGGTACTGAGCCAGTCACCCTGAAGAAGGAGGAGACCATGGCAAACCAGTTCTAAAAAATCTTGCCAAGAAAACAGCAGGGACTTGTCCAGGCAGATGCTAGGAGCCAGGACAACCCAAAAGCATCTGCGTGTGCACACATCAGACACACAAATGCCAATAATTGCAGAATTCTCTTTAACTGGAAGTACAATTCATGTACTGGTGAGGTGCAGTTTTTTATAGAAACTTTGGAAATCTAATTGCCAATTCTTGTATGTTTTTGAAGAGCACTGTTCTGTTTGTGTGTTGAAAATATGTTGAAAAAGAGTGCAGAGAAGAGCAATAAAGATGATTAGGGGACTAGAAGTTAAAACATAAATGGTTACAGGAACTGGGTATTTCTAGTTTAATGAAAAGAATGACTAAGGATGACATGATAGCAGTGCTCCAATATTAAAGGGCCTGCCACAAACAAGAGGGGGGAGTCAAGCTATTCTCCAAAGCACCTGAAGGCAGAACGGGAAGCAATGGATGGAAACTAATCAAGGAGAGAATTAACCTAGAACTGAGGAGAAATTTCCTGACAATTACAATTAATCAGTGCAGCAGATTGCCTTCAGAAGTTATGGGTGCTCCAACACTGGAGGTTTTTAAGAAGAGATTGGACAGTCATTCGTCTGAAATGGCATAGGGTCTCCTGCTTGAGCAGGGGGTTGGACTAGAAGACCTCCAAGATCCCTTCCAACTCTGTTGTTCTGTTGTTTCCAAATTAAAACATCTAAATAAATCAAAATTTGTCTTGATTTGATTGAATTTTATTTGAAGTTATTCTTAGGAAAACGTTTGCTGATTTTTATAATTTTGCAATGGCATGTACTGCTGACAAAAGGAAGACCATTAACTTCCTCTTTAGATTCTTTGTCTAACTTCTAATCCCCCTCCTGCAAATTAGGGGATGGTAACATTCTACCAAGAGTCTGAGATTTGCTTTCTTCAGGCTGAAGTTTCCACATATGAAGCTTCTTTGCTGGCATGTGATATATCTAACTGAGGGGCAATTTGTTGTTGTTAGTTGCAAAGTCGTGTCTGACCCATTGCGACCCCATGGACAACGTTCCTCCAGGCCTTCCTGTCCTCTACCATCTTCCGGAGTCCATTTACACTCACGCCTACTGCTTCAGTGACTCCATCCAGCCACCTCATTCACTGTCGTCCCCTTCTATTGCCCTCAGTCTTTCCCAGCATTAGGATCTTCTCAAGTGAGTCCAGTGAGGGGCAATTTAGATCACCTCAATTAAAAACAATGGGAAGTTGATATGCTGCAACAGTGCCAACTTTCATCGTTAATTAAGAGAATGCTTCTGGATTCCAGCATTAGTAAAAAGTAAAGAAATACGAATAGCTGCGTCAAGTGTTTTGCCTGGAAATATGCCCACTTCCTCCTTACCTCAAAGTATCCCTAAAAGTGAACTGTGGTACTAGTAGAAATTCTCTGGGGCTAGAAAATTGCCAAAGGACAATTTTATCAGTGTGCCACCCAATAAGTGGATATTTTGTAATTGGCTGCCCTCCAACATTGGTTAGAGGTGTCGGTGTGCATATGTTGTGCTCTCAAAATTCCAAAGGTATTTTTTTGGTCCAGAAAAGTTGGTTATTTGTGCTCTTATGTGAGAATATGCAGTGTTTAAGTACACAAACATCCAGTCCGATAAGACAGACTCAAAGCTGCTCTGTGATTACTTTAGTCTTGTTTCAAAATGAAAGACCTCTCCTGCTGATAAATGGTTATGCTTAGGCAGGGGTAGGCAACCTTGGCTCTTTTATGAGTCGTGGACTTCAACTCCCATGGCTGGCTCAGGAATTCTGGGAGTTGAAGTCCACGAGTCATAAAACAGCCAAGGTTGCCTACCCCTGTGCTAAGGAGTGGATTTGTTTTAATTCTGTACTGAAGTGCATTGAAAGGATCAGCCAAGGCTGACTACTTCTTTGTGGCCTGTTGTAATGGTGACCAATAGGAGACTCACTCACTCAACATAAAAATAATTCAGATAGTTAACTTACATTTAGTTTAATAGTACATTATTATCTGAGAGGTTGTGGCCACCATCTTTTTTGACACAGTGCTCTCAATGCTATATTTTTCTGTACGTGTCCTGCTTTCGATTAAATTTTGATTTGATTGAAATCTGTTTCATTTCTCTATTTCCAACTACAAATTAAAAATCTCTGTTTATGAGAACTGGATTATACAATGGTCTGTCTCACATCTCTCTCCTGGGATGCCTTGCCTTGAACCTATCTGAGTAGCTGTTGCTATGCCATGATTACCAAAGATGAACCATTGTTTCAATCATTCAATCTTCAAAGTTTGCATAAGATCCCAGACTAAATAAACCACATCCACCTGTTTAACAGTGTAGGTTAAAGTAGGATTGGCTAACTTGCAGATCAATATGTCTGAAGAACACAGCCACTTGAGTTTGACAAGATAAAGCAGGGGTAGGCAACCTTGGCTCTTTTATGACTCGTGGACTTCAACTCCCAGAATTCCTGAGCCAGCATGGCTGGCTCAGGAATTCTGGGAGTTGAAGTCCACGAGTCATAAAAGATCCAAGGTTGCCTACTCCTGGGATGAAGGATGCTCTTGATCTGATCTGGAGAATAATGGTAACCTGGAAGTGATTGCAATAAAACCTGAGAGATTCGTAGCTGTCATTAACAAATCACTAAAATGTGCTAAATCTTTAGAGACCACAACTATAGAGAGCCATAGAGCCTCGTTCTAGCATAAATGTCTAATCACCACTTAGTCTGGAAAAAATATACTGGAGGGAAATCCAATGCCAGTGGATACAATACCCATGAATGGAAGGATTGGCCCTCATTTAAAGGAGAAGCTTGCTGCTCCTTCCACAAACATTGAAATCTCTTTGATCTTTCTAACCAGATTTATTGTTGACCTGTTCCACAAAATTCACATAATCAACCGCGTCCAGCCATTAGAATTCAAACAATGGAGCCATTAATGGCTTATTTTATGCCTGAATGTATGAGAACAAAGGAAAAACAAATTAGATCTCTATATTTCTCATTTCTCCCCGCCATTTCCGGCCCACTCACCCTTCCACATCTCTTGAAAGAATAAAAATTAGCTTAAGGTATTAATACAAAAAGTAAATACAAAATCTAATGATTCCCCCCTCCCTTTGGTTAATCTGAACCATCTGCCTCTCGCTGCTAAGGAGTACACCGCCTTAATCCAGATTAGAATTGACGAACTCTTTCTGGCATAGAGTTTTCCCTAATACTGTGCCCTAGAAGAGCTGCTCGGGGCCGTTGAAATTTCATTGGTTCATTGGTTCATTCTTTTTCCTTCGGGCTGTGGGTTTCCTGGTGGCGTGGGTTTATTTTTCCATTTGGCCAGGTGAAAAAAAAAGTGGGGGGAGAACATGGCTTTCCTAATGAAAAGTATGCTGAGTAACCAGGTGAAAAATTTGGGACTTTCTGGAGGGGGCGAAGAAAAGAAGGAGGATGCTGCTCCAACTGACCCAGCTACAGCAGCCGGAATGACCCGAGAAGAATATGAGGAATATCAAAAGCAAGTGATAGAGGAGAAGTAAGTGCATCTTCCTATGTTTTCAGTGTGTAAACTGATTTTAGATTGTTTAAATTCACAAGACCAGAAATCCAGGGAGGTAGATGCTTTAATGCCTGTGAGTTAAGGCTGTACCACTACTTATTCTCCAGAAGCATGTTTAATTTTCCACAATAGTATCTCCATGGAAAGGGGATCCTTTCCTTTGAATGTTCCTCTTCCAGATTTCTAGGTTGGGGAAAGAGAAATACTTAATATACCCAAGGTATTTCCTAAATATAACCACAGTTACAAGCTTGTTTATGTATGGAACTTCATAGGCTTCTTTACAGTTCATCTGAATCAAATACTTTTCAGAATTTTTCTTTTCCTGCATTGGTTAGAATTTTAAAGTTGGTTTTATGTAAGCTAGTTAAATCCAATAAAGTTAGATTTACTCTTATTTTAAAACATACATAAAGAAATAATGACAAAGGTAACATGAGTCTGCCTCTGAAAGTCTAAAAGTACTGTGCTCT